TTTAGGTAGAAGGATGATAATGATATGACTTGTGATTTTAAAGTGATCATTCTAAAAGATGTGTAAAGAATGACTCCTTACCATGATTTGCAAGGGCTGGTATGATCTGGCTTCTGCCAACCTTTCCATTTTCATTCCCTGTATCTTTTTAAGCATACTTCAATTACAGTAGTCTACTGTCAGGTGGGTTTTTTTTTTCTCTATGCCAATCTCTTTCCAGACTTAGGGCTTTCACCCATGATATTCTCCTTGTTTTTAAAGTTCTCCTCCATGTTCTCCTTACAAGTGGGTTCCTGTAACTGTTTGCTTAGTTGTCTTCTCCACTATTCTTAAGTACGGAGGGGGCAATCTTTTGTATTTACTTATGTATACCTAGTATCTAGCATAGTGCCTTACACAAAGCAGCACCTATTGTCTGTTGAATAAAATAAATATACAAGAGTAATTAGTCATTCATGTGTTGAAAAAGTAAGTATGGGAGCTCTTATGTTAGGTGCTATGAGAATATACAAAGGGTTATAATACATAATTTTTACCCTGAGATAGTGCCCAATTTAAAAGGAGTGATATTTCCCAATTTAAATAATATTGTGACATGGAGAAAGGCAGTATAGTTAGAGTAGTTCAAAGTTCTGCCAGTGGCCAGCTGTGTGACCTCAGATAAGTAATCTTCTTTCTCTGTTCCTTTATTTATGTATCTGTAACATTAAGGAATTTGACTACACTTTCCTAAGGCTTTGGTTGTTATATGTTGTGTGCAATTAATGGTACATTCGTTAAAGTATTTACTCCCAGGCTTCATCCTTGGAGAGTCTGATTTAGTAGTTATGGGAATTCCCCAGGTGATTGTGATGCAAAACCAGGTTTAGGAACTATTGATCTAGGTCTTTCCAGCTTTTTCTTTCTTTTTTTTTTTTAAGATTTTATTTATTTATTTTTAGAGAAAGGGAGGGAGAAAGAGGGAGAGAAACATCAATGTGTGGTGGCCTCTTGAACACCCTCCACTGGGGACTTGGCCTTCAAGTCAGGCATGTGCCCTGACTGGGAATCGAACTGGTGACCATTTGGTTCACAGGCTGGTGCTCAATCTACTGAGCCACACCAGCCAGGTGTAACTTTTTCATCTTATAATTCTAATTGTATTAAAAGGTTGACTATAAAAGTGTGGCAGGACTCAGGCAAATTAAAATCTTATATTTATTCAGAGGCAGGGAAAATATTTTATTTGCTTGGGTGATGGGAGAAATTAATGGATAGGATGACACTGAAATGGACTTTGAAGAATGGATGGAAATATGCACAAGTGTAGAAGTGAAGCATAATTGGTTTTTAGTCCAGCTTTCTTAGAGGCCAGAATATATGCCAGAGAGGAAGGGTGAGGGGGAATTACCCATTTTGATGCAATGGACCATAGTTCTAGTCTTATTTTCCCCACTTTATCTGTCATACTTGTTTGAACTTTTGAGATGAAAGATTCTATTATTGCAGCTTGATCCTAATTTGGTAGGAGTGATTATGTGGTGGCAGACACCATGGAATTTCTTTGGGAAATAATTGGGTGTCTTATTCCTCAAGCTTTTTGGGACTGTGCCCTTTGGATCCACTTTGACCACCCCGTTGGTTTTCTGGTCAGACACAAAGAATATCAGGACCCACATGTTATCTAAAATAATAGTTTTGCTGTCAGAATATTTATTATTAAACCAAAGTTGGCTCTTTTTTTTATTTGGATGAATCCATATAAAGGCAACATTCTGAGTAAATTATATAGCACCCACATGATGAAATAATGAGCCTGAGTTTAGGGGATGAAAGTAATGATCTAATGCAATATTTAGAGTGGATATACAGTATGTACTTATTAACTGAAAAGCCACATCCTATGTTCTTTTGGTTTTGGAAAATTTGTCATTAATTGCCAGGAAACCTCTGATTTTTCATACAGAATCACATCATAGCTGTTGACTTTTACCCCCATCTCCTGCCTTAAAATACATCCTTATAAATGGTAGATTACTTTCAGATCTATAATACCCCTTTTAAACGTTGGGTTACTAAGTTTAGCTCAGCTGCTCTCTTTTTTCAAAGTAGAATTTTTTAAAACCCTTACCCAAGGATATGTTTATTATGTTTATTGATTTTACAGAAAGAGAAATGGAGGGGGGCATAGAAGGAGGGAGGAAGGAAGGAAGAGGTGAGGAGGTAGAGAGAGACTGAGAGAAAAAGAGAGACAGAGACAGAGACAGAAACATCAATGTGGAAAAGAAACATCAATTAGTTGCCTCCATATGCATGCCTGACTTAGGATCGAACTCACAACCCAGGTATGTTCCCTGACCAGTAATCAATCTCTTGAACTTTTGCTGCATGGTATGATGTTTCAACCAACTTAGCCACCTGACCAAGGCCAAAGTAGAAGTCTTTTCCCCCTAACTTTGCCTCTTGAATATTTACTGACAAATCATACTTTGTTTTTGGCTGACAACTGGCTTAAAATCTTATTTAACCTTTGTGCCCAGTGAGAGCCAGTTAGTTGTGAAATGTTTTTGGTTTTCCTGAGTCAGAACTGTGTGGAGAAAGGAAATATTCTATGAGATGAGCTCTGATCTTTCATTCAAACTAACTCTAAATTGAGCTACTTTTATTAAATAGTTGTTGAAGATAGCTCATCAAGGCAAAGTCAGACAGAGCACACAGGCCAAAATTGAGAAGAAAGAATGAGGTAGTAGGCAAGAAATGAGAACAGCGTGGTAGAATCCAGCCCATGCCTACCCCTGGCAGTTTTTTCAGATCAATCTAGGATTCAGAGGTTAACCTGTGGTCATCTAGTCAGTCTATTACCTCATATAGCCCTTCTTGATGTTGATGTGTTAACTATCAGTTGACTTCAAAATTGGAGAAGTGGGAATACCAAGCCTGTGATTAATTGCTTGGAAAAAATTACTTTTATTAAAGTGAATTATTTGCCTCCAGTAGTACCAGAGCACCTTAGATAGTGCTTTAACCAGAATTTATTTGAAAGGAACAACTCTCTCTGCCCTGCACTCCTCTCCCTCAACCCCCAACATAGCTAGATCAAAGAAGGATCTTTCTTGTAGATAAGAAATAGAAAAACCTTAGACTGGAGAATATCTCCCCAATTTCAGGAAATGCCTTCATAGGAAGATTACTACTATTTCATCTGCCAAACTGTTAAGAAGAATAATAGAGTCAGAAGTGTAGAGAACTTGGAAGCAAGTTTAAAACCATTTACTATTTTGCAAATTGTGTTCTGTGTTCATGCTGCCTAGGTAGCATTGTAGGCCTGCCTCTGCTTCAGTCAGAGGACATAAGGGTATTATCTGCTTATATATTAGGATTTCATCTATTATGTGATTTGATATAGGAGTTCTGCCCTTTTATGGAAAGCTTGGAAAAATTTGTTTAGGTTACATGTCAAAGATTATAGAGAATGTATCTGAAGGTCAGAGTAGTTAAATTATATACCTACAGTTGTACAGCTACTTAGAGGTTGACCAAAATTAGAAATCATGAATCTGGACTTCCTATCTAGTGCATTTTTACTACAAAATGTTGATTTGATTTTCCATTTTGAAAGACACAGAAGTGATCTGTGAAATGGTGATTAACACTAGGCAGCCCCAGGCAGCCTTGGAATGTTCCATGGTTCAAATGTCCAGACCAGATGGAGGTCCAGAAATGGATGACTCAAAGTTTATTAGTTTTGCCACCTGGGCAGTACAGCCGAACCAGCTGTCATAAGGCATTTCCAATTTCAACAGAGCAATAAATTAACATAAAAGTCAGTGTAAATCCCAAGAATATGTTAAAGGAGAATGGTTGCTGCTGCAAGGAGATGCATTCAGGCCAAGCCATATTGATAGCCCTTGTCCAAGGCACAGCTGCCATGCCAAGCTGAGGGCAATAACAGGTTATGGCACCAAGCCTTGAAATACCACCCCTTGAGGTTCTCTAGGAGCCAATGTCTGTCTATGTTTGACTTGCTGACTTGGTAGACTCCCAATCACATCTGATAATTTGGAATGGGAAAAGCAAGCCCATGCTATGTCTTGATTATGTTATGAGTTGATAAGCTTTTTTCCTGGAAATTGAAACGTTATTAGGTCACCATCTTGCCATAGTTCTGGGTCCTTGGATGCATGGCTATACACTGGAACATAAGTTTTTGTGGCTGATCTCTAGGCTGAATCAAGTCATTTATCCTCATGTTATCTTCATGTGGAATTGAACTATTGGGGGCTTTCAAGATCTGTATATGAAATACTACAAGAATCAGAGGCTTTAGATGATCACTTTAATTGAACTATGCTTCTTTAAGGCATGGGGCCAAAGAACAAGTTGGGAAAGGTACAGTAATTTTTGTTGAAATGAGGATCATTTACCTGTGAATAAAAACATCAAATAATCTTGATCCTCTATATTAGTAAAAATGTTTTGGGCAGCAAGTAACAGAAAACTTGACTAAATTAAACAAAATAGAGTCCTATTTATTTACTTATTTATTTAATGACAAGTTTAGAGGAATGTGGCTCCTGGCTTTGGTTCACCTGCTCAATGATGATGACACAGTCTCTTTTTATGTCAATTTGATGAAAAGTAAAAGGACAGGTAGAGAGGGGAAAGGAATGTACGGGTTGCTGTTGTAGGCTTTGATGGTAAAGCCTCGACCAGGTTCTGTTTGCTGGGTCAACCTCTGCCTATGATGATTTTTTCAGGAGCTGTTTCTGTGTTTATATGTCTTAGGTGACTGTTACTCAGTACTTAGACTCATGCAATAATGTAATACTGCTGTTCCTTTCTTTGTATATTGAAAGTGTGTATGCCTGTATATTTCTAACATGTTTGGAGTTTTTTTCTCTTTTTTCTTCTACAATGACATAAAGTGAAATCAAATTAAAACTTTCATATTATAACCCTTTGTTAATGAGTGAGTATAGATACACTAGCTTTTTTTTTTTCTTTCTTTTTCTTCCTGGTAGGTGGCATGTTTAACCCAGGTAGCTGCTAATTATCTTATTGCCCAAAAGGAAGCAGAACGTTGGGGCACAGCTCATGGCAGTATTGTTCCTTACCAGGTAAGAGGAAAATTATATAGTATTGGGCTACTATTATTTGCAGGGTTTTTTTTAAATGGAATGAGTTTGCAAAATGATTTCCTTAAGGAAAAAAAACCTTTCAGGGTATTCTGTCATATATCCTGGTCTGACTGTAACAAAGTTCTGTTGTTCACTTTAAATGCTGTGTTTTGCACATTTCTCCGTGAGAAGATTAGCAACAGGACACATAAATGGAAGAAAGAAACTTGCTGAAAATGAGTATTGGACTCAGGATAGTTTGCCTTTTTTTCTTTTTTCACCCAAAAGAGGCACTGATTGTAGCCATTTTAGAAAGCATAGTTTGTTCACCATGTCAATTACAAACCAAATGTTACCTACCCCAGCTGACAATAATATTCTCACAGGGTTGGAGTAAAATGAAAATTTGCCTGTGACAGATCTTCAATTTTGAGCAAAGCAGATGGTTCAGGAACTGCTGTTCTTTATTAAGCATCTAAACTTGTCCTTAGAAATTCTTGAGTTTGGTAGTGTGAATGAATATGTGAAGGAACTGCTATCTTTCAAAAATAAAAACAAACACAAAAACTGAACTCTTCTTTCAAACTCCTAACTTTTGCTTAACCCAGTTGTATCATATAAGATTGTGTTTACTCATGTACTGGTCATATCTTTTGTATTATGTTGTAAGTGTTAGGGTATAGGTATCTTTGTCATCATTGTGTCCCTTCTCACATCCAGCAGAAGCACTTGCTAGATACTATATAATTTTTCTTGAATAATGAAGTGAATTTTACTGTATAGTCATTTTAGTGCTAGTGCTCTTTTTTTAAAACATTTTTATTGGCATTCAAGTACGGTTTTCTGCCTTTTCCCCCCACTTCTCCCCACCACCCCAGCTCTCCCCACCTCCTTGCGTTGTTTCTAGCACCCCCCCCTTGTTATTGTCCATGTGTCCTTTATAATTGTCCCTGCAAACCGTAGTGCTCTTAACAGAACACATAGAAGTCAGTATTTTTTATTGGCCAGGAAATCCATCAACACTGCTAATCACCCTTTCAGTTTTAAGATCATGATTTCTTTGGGCAAAAGTGGTTTCATTTTAATTTTTAATACATTTTTGAGGAACGTGGTGACTCAATGTGATTCTAGAATTCTTTATTTCCATTTATGGTATCTTTACATCTGAAACATTAGTATGATTTTTCTATACAACTATGGTTTCTCTTTTTAACACATTTAGTTAATCTTTTGACATAATTACAGTTATGGAGACATTTTCTTTAGTTCCCTCTTTTCTCTCACAGTGGTTTTCTGATCACCATAGTAACATTTTACTTGCCACCTTCTTAGCTCTTTGTGTTTGTCTCTGCACTTCTAGATAAACCTACCTCACATCACAAAGGCTCTACATTTAGACTAGTTAGAGATCATAAAATTCAGCCTTCTCATTTTTCAGATAAGAAATCTGATATTTAGATTGATTAGATGGACTCTGACTCTGATCTTCTGCCTCCTGTGGAGTGTTCTTTCAGATGTAGGTACCTTTGACAGTAGAGTTGTGATTCCAATTTCCTCCTTCTACTCTACCCCATACCCACACCACTAAACTTGCTTCCTAGCTAAGGGGGTGTCATCAACTAATTTATGTTCATCATTGATAATGGAAATCTCTCTCAATGGCATTTTAACAGAAGACAATATTGGAACCCATGGGAATTCATCTCAAATTTCATCTCAAATAATGGAAGTATAGGCTTAGTTTTCAATGTGTATGGAGAAAGCATTTATGAGTTGGAAGGCTTTCAGTGCAATTCCAAATCATATTGCATTGGGAAGTGTTCATACGCATGTTCAAGAACAAGTTTCATAGTTTGTTTTTTGCTATTTAAAAATATGATATATATTTTTATGTTTTTTAAAATATATTTTATTGATGATGCTATTACAGTTGTCCCATTCCCCCCCCCTTCATTCCCCTCCACCCTGCACACCCTCTCCCACCCACTTTCCCACACTTTAGTTTATGTCCATGTGTCATAAGTTCTTTAGCTTCTACATTTCTCATACTGTTCTTACCCTCCCCCTGTCTATTTTATACCTACCATCTGTGCTACTTATTCTCTGTACCTTCCCCCTCACCTTTTCTCCCACTCCCCTGTTGGTAACCCTCCATGTGATCTCCATTTCTCTGGTTCTGTTCCTATTCTAGTTGATTGCTTAGTTTTTGTTTTTGTTTTTGTTTTAGGTGTGGTTGTTAATACTTGTGAGTTTGCTGACCTTTTACTATACATGATTTTTATCTTCTTTTTCTTAGCTAAGTCCCTTTAACATTTCATAAAATAAGGGCTTGGTGATGATGAACTCCTTTAACTTGACCTTATCTGAGAAGCACTGTATCTGCCCTTCCATTCTAAGTGAAAGCTTTGCTGGATAGAGCCATCTTGGATGTAGGTCCTTGCCTTTCATGACTTGGAATACTTCTTTCTAGCCCCATCTTGCCTGCAAGGTCTCTTTTGAGAAATCAGCTGACAGTCTGATGGGAACTCCTTTGTAGGTAACTGTCTCTTTTTCTCTTGCTGCTTTTAAGATTTCTCCTTCATTTTAGTCTTGGGTAATGTAATTATGATGTGCCTTGGTGTATGCTTCCTTGGGTCCAACTTCTTTGGGACTCTTTGAGCTTCCTGGATTTCCTGGAAGTCTATTTCCTTTGCCAGAATGAGGAAGTTCTCCTTCATTATTTGTTCAAACAACTTTTCCACTTGTTGCTCTTCCTCTTCCCCTTCCGGTACCCCGATAAGTTGGATGTTGGAATGTTTAAAGGTGTCCTGGAGGTTCCTAAGCTTCTCCTCATTTTTTTGAAGTCTTATCTCTCCATTCTTTTCTGTGCGGTTGTTTCTTTCTTCCTTCTGGTCCACTCTATTGATTTGAGTCCCAGTTTCCTTTGCTTCACTATTGGTTCCCTGTGCATTTTCCTTCATTTCTCTTATCGTAGCCTTCATTTTTTCATCTAATTTGTGACCAAATTCAACCAACTCTGTGAGCATCCTGATCACCAGTGCTTGGAATTGTGCATCTGATAGGTTGGCTATCTCTTGGTCGCTTAAAAGTTTTGGATCTGAGGCTTTGATTTATACTTCCGTTTGAGCTATTTTTTGGGGGGCCGGGTCTGGTTGCGCCTGTTAGGTAGTGAGGGGCACAGCCTTAGGTGTTCTCCAGGGCAGGGCAACCCAGTTGCTGTGTTGTGATGTAGTATGTGGGGGTGGGATCTGAGAGGAAACAGTGGTGCTTGCTCCTCTCTCCATCAGATTTCAGTCCCTTCCACTGCTTTGTCCAGGCTAACTGGGCCTTTCTGTTGCTAATTCCTGTGTGGGTGGGATTGTGTAGTTCTAGGACCCTGTGGGTCTCTCCAACAAACTTTCCTTTGAGGCTGGGAGTCTCTCCCTGCACCTCAACTCCCACGGGTGTTTTCAATCAGTGTCCTGAGGTTCTATTTGCTGGTGCTGGGACCCTGGGTTGCTGGGTCTGTCTCACTGCCCAATTTTGCCTGTTTTATCTGTGTGTGAATGTGGTCTGGACAGCCAGGTGCCTTGTGCTCAGTGCCTCGCTTCACAGTTTCTGCCTCGCTGGGTCTGCCAGCCTCCTGGCCTGCTGCAGGCTTGTGCTTGGGATGCCTTATGCGCCAGGGAAGCATTACATGTCCAGTGCTACCGCTTTTTGTGTTGTGATCCCTCTCCACCTGGCTGCCTGATTCCACCCCTTCTACCAGTCTGGATGAATGTGTATATTTGAACTTCTTGGTTGTCTAACTTCCATACAGTTCAATTTCTGTCAGATCTGGTTGTTATCTTGTTTCTAAATTGTTGCTGACCTTATTTTGGTTGTGTGAGGAGGCACAGTGTGTCTACCTATACCTCCATCTTGGCCAGAAGTCTTATAAGTTTTGTATAGACCTCAGTTTTCCATCCTAAGTGTTTGCACCAGACCTCTGTCATTTTGAGTGTGTTCTCACTTATTTTATTGTGATGTGATGTGAAAAGAAATGTACAGTCTCTGGTTTTTCTAATTGTAGTTAAAAGATATCAGAGTCTCAAACTGACAGTAACCAGAGGGAAGGTGGGAGGGGATAATGGGGAAAAAGAGGGAAGGGTTTTCCAGAGCATCTGTAAAAGGCACATGGACAAAACCAAAGGGAGGTGGGATTGAGGGTGGGAGGTGTGGGGATAGATGGGGTGAGAGGGAGTGGTGAGGAGAAAATGGAGTCAACTGTACTTGAACAACAATAAAAAATGTTATAATCAAGACCCTGGTGGTCTCAGGAACTAGTTAAGATGCCCAGCCCATTTTCCTCAATTGTTGTTGAACCCTATATGAAAGATCATAGACCTTAAATGCATGGAATATCAGTTTCTGAAAAATAGCTATTCTTAAATGTCTTTATATATCATTTACATTCAATTCTTTTTATCTACTTTTATGAATTTTTCCCATAGTAGAAACTTTTAATTAAAGCTTTATCTATATGTATATTTATTTTTGGTGTTTTTAATTGAATTTATTATGGTTACATTGGTTAATAAAATTACATAGGTTTAAGGGATACGATTATATAGTACATTATCTGTAGATTGTATTGTATGTTCCCTACCACAAGTCAAGTCTCCTTCCATCACCATTTATTCCCCTTTGTACCTTCTTCTGCCTCTCTCACTGCTTTCCCTCTGGTAATCACCATACTGTTGTCTGTGTCTATGAGGTTTTATTTTTTTTTTCCTGCTTAAGCCCTTCACCTTTTTCATCCAACCCCATACCTCCTACCCCTCTAACAGCTATCAATGTGTCTATTTCTATTTTGTTAGTTTATTTTATTCATTAGATTTCACATATGCGTACAATCATACTGAATTTATCTTTCTCTGGCTTACTTCATGTGACATAATGCTCTCCAGGTCCATGCTGTTGGAAAGGATAAGATGTCCTTTTTTTCATGCTGAGTAGTATTCCACTGTGTAAATGTAGCA